ACACACACACACACACACACACACACACACACACACACACACATACAATCAGTTGTATGTTTGTCTGTTTTCCTGTTGTTGTCTGTCCTCCCCCTTGCAATCAGACTTGTCTCATTCACACTTCTCATGTATGTAAACAGCAGCACAGCAAACTGGCGACATGCACCCACTCAATACTCAAAGACATGGCTTCCAGGTAAGAGTTCACTTTCACTGGCTATGGCGACTCAGCGCCCAACAACCCACTGTTCACACACACCGGATCACCCTGGATATCCCACACGCGACACTCTGAACACACACACACACACACACACTTCGCCCTAAGCTACAGCTATGGCAGCGCTGGCTGCCTCTACCCTAATCGCTATGGCTACACTTCGTCACTCTTGCCCACTTCGACTTCGGGCCTGCTGCAGACCTCCTCGCACAAGATGCCGAGACAGCGCTTCCACATGGCTTCTGCAGGAATGAATGAATGGCTGTGCGCGGCCTCTTGATTTATACTTTTGTGACTCGTTGGTCTGCCCTGTTTCCCTGGCCCACGGTGCACACAGTCCCAGGCGGTACTTGCTTGACTGGACCGAACTGACTGGACTGGGACTGCTGACTCTGCACGGTGGACTTCCACCACTTGCCCACTTGCCTGGACCTACAGTGGGCTGACTCCGAAAGGCCACTTCTAGAAACATCTACTTGGCCTTTCGGTACTGTAGCAGCTACGACTCTGCCCTTTCAGGTAAGTAGCAGCTACGACTTTGACCCTTCGAAAAGTCTACAGCTAAAACCTCTGGACTCTCTAGACTCCTATCCGACAGGTCTACAGTTCGAATCCCCTATACCCTGTAACCTACGACGACCTACCTACCACTGGCAGTCCTATAGGTCGCGGGTTCAACTCTACGGGTTGACACAGGTACTGTACACAGGGAAGGTGGGGACTAGGGATCGAGCCCTGGGATCTGCATCAGATACTGCGAACTGGTGAATACCGTTCCACTCCCGCCGGCCTAAATTCGAGGTCCTCCGAGAATGTTTCAGTCCAAGGCAGGACCTTTACCCTTTTTGTCTCTTTCGTAGGCCTTGACTATATCGGGAGCTGTTTCTAGAAGTTCAGTTTTAGTGAACCACCGGTCGTCTTCTGGTTCCTGATATGCAAATCTGACTTTATACTGTTTCTGAGGACGACCTCGACCTCCTGTTCTAAACACGTCTTCACCTACAATCCCGTCAATGTGTACCTTCCATCCATGTCTGGAGGGATCATGGAACGCCTCGATGGAAACCGGTCACTTACTGTGCATGGCAACAACTTTGACGCATGGAAAACTGGGTAGGTGTGGAGGTGTAGTGGAATCTCTATCGAGTATGACAGACCATCTTCCCCGCCCTTGACTTCTAGAACTGGCCACGGTCCTCTATACGTGGGCAGTAACTTTTGCGAGATGTTTTCCTCAGGAGCAAACTCTTTAGCTTTAACCCAGACTAAGTCGCCTACTTGGAACTGTGAGGGGCGACGATGTTTGTTGGCTTGCTCTATCATCCTATGCTGGGCCTTCCTGAGGTTCTCTACAACAGTAGCTAGTTCTTTCTCATGTTGTATAGCAAACTCCCCAGTACCGGGCGGTAGCCTATGAATCTGATCGCGGTTAAGTCCTTCAAACGGTCTGCGCGGTCTAAAGGACTCATGCAACGCATTGGGAGTGCGACCCGTAGACAGGTGCACACTATTGTTATAGGCACTGGCTACCTTGGGAAGCATCTTGTCCCAGTCAACTTGATTTGGTCTAATGTACATTCTCAGAACTTGCTGCAGAATTATTCATCTGTTCAGTCTGACCGTTGGTCTCTGGGTGACGGCCAAACGACATTAACAACTTGGAGCCGTAGACTCTCATCAATTCCTGCCAGTTCTGACTTGTGAACTGGGTGTCTCTATCACTAACTATGGACAATGGGACCCCGTGTTCACTGACCCAATGATCAAAAAAATTACGGATCACTAACTCCGTTCGTGCCTCAAAGGACAAAGGAATGAAGACAGCATATTTGTTGAACCTATCGACGATCACCATGACTTGGCTCTTGCCATGCCTACTCTTGACTCCAGCGTCCATGAAATCGATGGACACTGAATCTCCGGGCTGATCAGGAATAGGCAGGGGTCTGAGAAGACCTAGCGGAGCACGCGTAGTAGTCTTATTCCGCTGGCAGACTTTACAACTGCGAACATACTCTTTGTAGTCATTCTTCATTCCTGGCCAGGTGTACGCGTGCATTAGATTGGCTAGAGTCTTTTGCCAACCAAAATGACCTTCCGTGTCGTGACATTCTCCTAAGATCAGACTACGGATCTCCTCACTATTGGGAATGCACAGACGGTCAGCTATGTTAGTCTTCTCAAATAACAGTCCATTAGTAGTACGGTAATCCGGCTCAGTCTCAGGGGCCTCCTTTACTCGCTTGAGGAGGTCACTATAGATAGGGTCCTGCGCATATGCTTCTTTAACTCTTTCCTGCAGGTCTCCCCCTATATCGAGATAGTGAACTATAGCCCCAAAGTAGTCAGCTCTCCTACTCAGAGCGTCCGCAACTACATTATATTTACCCTTGACTGACTTGAGCTCAAAATCGTACTGGTCTATCTCTGCGGCCCACCTAGTAAGCTTAGGTGTCATCTTGGTCTGTGTCTTTAACCATCTTAACGTTTCGTGGTCAGAATAGACTTTGAAGTGCATCCCAAGCAAGTAATGCTTCCAGTGTTCTAGCGCTTGCTTGAGAGCGTAGAGTTCCCTCTCGTAGGTCGATGTCGCAACCTTCTTTGAAGGCATCCTAGCAGACATGAACTCTACGGGCCTATAACCATTGCCATCGTCTTGCTGCAGAACAACACCTATACCGTACTGATTAGCGTCCGTAGTGATGACAAAGGGTAAGGACGGATCGACAACCTTAAGGACTGGGTACTCTATCAGTGCCTGCTTCAACTTCTTCATGGAAGGCGTGCAGTCCTTGTCCCACTTCCAGATGGTCTCTTTCCTCAGCAATCTGTGAAGGGCCACAGCGATAGTAGAGAAGTTCCTTACGAACTTCCTATAGTAGTTTGCTAGGCCCAAGAACGACCGCAACTCTGTCAATGTACGAGGTGTAGGCCAATCCCTGATCGCTGCAATCTTACTATCCTCTGGCTTGATGTCGTCTCCGTCTAAGACGTGGCCTAAATACAACACTTGGATCTTCGCCCATTCACACTTCTTTGCGTTGCTCTTGAAGTTAGCTTCTCTCAGCTTCTCCAAGACCTGCCTGAGATGATCCTGATGCTCTTGGAGGGTCTTACTAAACACTAGGATATCATCCAAGTAAACCACAACAAACCTATCTAACCACGGCCAAAACAAATCATTCATACATCGCTGGAAAGTTGCTGGCGCGTTGGTTAGTCCAAAGGGCATCACGATGAACTCGTAGTGCCCGTACCTAGTCCGGAAAGTTGTCTTGTACTGATCATCAGGATGAACTTCTATCTGATGATATCCGGACTTGAGATCTATCTTCGTAAAATACTTACACCCCTGCACTCGATCTAAAAGATCATCTATCCTAGGCAGCGGCTCAACATTCTTTACTGTGATAGCATTCAGACCCCTATGGTCTATACACATTCTCAGCTCTCCCTCTTTTTTTAGGACAAAGAGAACAGGTGCTCTAAAGGGAGACGAACTGGGCCTAATCCAACCCTTCTCGAGGAGCTCGTCTAATTGCGTGCGCAGTTCCTCTAACTCCCGCGGGGACATCCTATACACGGCTCCCTTGGGCGTTCTACCGCCAGGCTCTATCTCGATTCGATGCTGGATTGGCCGCGGAACTACTCCTATCGGCGGCTCAGCTAGATCTTTAAAATCCTCCAGCAGCTTGTCAATAGCAGGGTCTATAGGCTTTTCTTCCTTAGGCTCAGTTACCGGCCTAACATAGGCTACAAAAACTTGTCCCTCTAGTTGCTCCTTCTTCACTAGCCTTGCAAACGCAGGAGCACTAAGGCAGCAATGCGCCAGGGAGTTATCTACTCCTCACACATGGAACAGACGGGCAGTCTTGACGCCGCCTGACGGACTAGGGGAGCCTACACTCGTGCTCTCTCAAATGAAGTGTGGCCCCTGCTGCCTCTCCCCAGTCCATACCCAGGACTGTGTCAAACGGGAGGCTATCCTCTACGAGGAGAGTCAGGGAATGGGGAACTTTCTCCACTTTCCCGTCCTTTTCTAGGCGGAAATACGCCTGGACTCCCTCTACGTACTCTTCTACTCGCATGGTGCGGTTGTCCGCTAGGATACTCACGATGGGGTCCACTAATCTTTGGACTTTTAGTTGCAACTTCAGCTTCTGTAGTGCCTTCCTACTAATATAACTATGAGTGGCTCCACTATCCACTAAGGCGCCAACTCGACCTCTAAAAATCTTTGTGTCTACTAATATAAGTTGCCCCTTATTCTCCTTTTTCATCTTGGCCCAGGGGGCATCCTCTCCTTCAATTCTTCAGCCACGCCTGTGAGGGAGGTGTCTAGAGAGAATCTAACACAAGCAGTCTCTGGACAGCCATCTAGACACCGGCCTGCAACCTCTACCATAGGCACATGTGGTGTGGGAGTCTCCTGCCGGCTAGCGCTACTTTCCCCACATGGCCTTATGGTAGGGGCAGTTGCTACCCCTACCGGCGGCTGCCTTTTGGCCCTTGAGMAGCCGATCGGGTCTCTCTATACTTCGGACAATATTTAATGATGTGGCCAGGGTCACCACAATAAATGCACTGCCCCTGGTTCACACGCTGCTGCCACATGCGCTGGTCCAGATCCAAATGTTCCCAAGGCCTGCCTTGCGGCAGCCCCGGGTGCCAACCACTTCTTCTATAAGGGGACCTATTCCCAGACCGGTTTTGCGGGGAACCTTGACCCCTTCCTCCCGCTTGGCCGTTTCCTCCGCGGCCGCCAACCCCCTGATCGCCCTGAGAACGGTTCCCTGAGGCCCGGCCCCCTTGGCCCTGGCCTCGTCCTCCTCCTTGCGGCCTCCCTCCAGCCGCGACAGCAGCGTAAGTCCTCCCTTGACTCACGCCACTGTCTTCGTCCTCTAACCCCCACTCAATCTGCTCGTAGGGGATTTCGTCAACACTACCTTCATCTAGAGTGAGGACAAGACTATCCTTAGTCTTAACTTGCCCTGAGATAGTGCGACCTTTCCATTGCTTTCCCTTGTCTAAGTCTTTGTGCCAGAAGGTGGAAACTGACACAGACTTTGCCGCAAAAGCCACCACTTCACGACTAAGGGAATCATAAGTGGTGGCAGGATCTTCGCTCTTCACGAAGAAAAGCCCTCGGAAGGCTTCGGGCATAGCCCGATAGAAGAGGCTGACCAACTGGGTCTCCGTGACCCCGTGGTCAGGAACAGCCACTAATTCGTCCATTACGCCTTTGAGTGCCCTGACACTCTTCCATTTACGAGAGTGGATTGTCTGGAGCTTATCTGAGGCCTTGACACTACGAGCCGCATCAGCAAACCGCTCGTGCAGCAATTTCATGAAATCGGCGAGGGGAGTGAACGATGAGTAGGCGACTGCATCATTATTGCAGTTAGCAGCGCGGACTAGGGATCTCGCGAAACTGGCAGCCTCATCTCTAAGCGCATGAATTGTAATCAACACATGCTGATCCGGGGAGACCTGTTGCAAGTGCACATAAGTCTTGACGTTGGCCTCCCAATTGTCAAAGTTCTCTCCCCTCTTTCCACTGTAGGAATCGGGGAACTTGACTTTGACTGGCTCCCTGCGAGGACGTGCCTCTTCCTCCTTGAGAGCTGTCAACTTGACGCCTTCAATGGCGCCCACGCAGAATCGTTCTGTCTTCTCGAGGCGATGGTTCACCTCGGACCCTACTGCGCCTACCAGTTCGCGGGCAAAATCCCGAAATCCCATCCGCATCGAGCGCACGGCCATATCCTGACTTCTACTAAACTCATATTGTCCTCCCTGTACCCGGGCTAAGCGCTCAACACTCTAGGCAATGACCTCCACCTTTCGTTGGAAATCCACCTGGGCGGTCAACTGTTCTCTCAGGTTCTTCACCTGCTCTAATTCTTTGGCCGCCTCACTTGCCGCATCCACTCTCCTCTTCTTTTCCCTCATCATCCTGAGCCTCCACTCCATCTTTTTCTCATCCTCCATCGCTTGCCGCTTCAGGGAATCTTCCTCTGCATCCCATTCTTTCATGGCGGCCTCCTGCTCATCCTTGGGGATATACATGGCAACCTCCTCCTCTTCTCCCAAAGACAAGTTAGCAACCCATTCTGAGATCTTTTTTTCCATTTCATCGTTTTTACTCCCACTGTACTGCCCTCGTTGCTCTCTCCTCCTTTCCAACGGCTGTTCATCTTCCTCCTCCTCCTCTTCCACCTCTTTTAACTTCACTTTTTCTTCTTTCTTCAACCTCTCCTTCTCTTTGGCCATCTTCTCCTCAATCTTCTTCAATTTCGCCGCCTGCACCTCCAACAAGGCCTTCTTCTTGCCCTCCTTCTTCTCTCTCCTCTCCTTCAGGATTGCGGCGGCCTTGGCCTCCTCTTCAGGTGTGTAGGGGTGTGTGGTCGTACCACCCTTGGTCTCTACCCTACAGGAGAATGTGTTCCAGAATCCCAACGGAAACATGAATCGCCAAAGGGTCCCTCAGAGGGAGAACCCAACGAGTAAACCATACATCGGGTAGTCATCCATGGTGTTCAGGTGCACGACAATGTCCCACTCCTCACCACGTAGACCTACCCAAACCACTGACTGACGGACTCTCTAAGGACCACAGGGTAGAACCCTGTCAGCTATGGTCACTAGCCTAGATCTACTCTAAGGATGTCACTACTGAACCAGTGGCTGATCTGGAGGCATTTAAGGAGATCCCCCTAACTCCGCAAGAATTCTTTAACGTCGCAGTCAGGACGACGTGATCAGCTTGGCCCTTACCTGTCGCACCGCCCACAGCTCAGCCTTTCAGGCCTACCGTGCCACACTGAGCAGCCCGCCGGTTTGTACCGGTCCCTGGGAGGGTTCGTATCCCCCGGGACAGTCGAGTCATCAGACACAGTCTTTAGCCTTACTAGGTCTGATAGGGGTTCGGGTCAACAAGGCCCTCAACACTTAGACTGCCTGTTGTTTCAGCCCACAACTCAGTCTTTCAGGCCCACTGTACCATACCAACCGTGTCCAGCCGGTCAGCACCGGTCCTTGGGAGGGTTATGCCCCCCTGGACAGTTGGATTTGCCACAGCCTCAGCCCTACTAGATCCGGTAGGGGAGTGGTCAACCAGGCCTATCCGTCATCCACAGAGTGATATCACCTAGGACAGAAGAGACTCAATGCAGAAAGGAGAGACAGACAGACTCAGACTCAGCAAGTACCGTAGGGTGAGTGCACATCCACAGGGCGAAGGGGTAGGCTAAGGGCTTGGCGAGATGTTACCAACTCCAGCTTGGTCAAAGTCTTGGTCAACGGCGCTGGTCAACTCCTCGGTCAACGCGGCAAGAGCCCGGTCAACCCTCCGGTCAACTCTCCACCTCGGCTATGGCTGTCGGCACCTTCCTCTTCGCCACCCTTGTCTTCTTCTCCTCCTTCCTTCACCTTCTTCTTCCTTTTTTTTTTT